GGTCGGTGGTATGGTGGCCAAAGACTCGGCAAGCTGGAGCCATTCGACAGCTCAATGGTATTCAAAGGCAAGCATGCCTGAGTACCACGGGAGCTATGAGAACGACTCCAACAGCAGCTATAGAAGTCATGCTAAACCTAACACCACTACATATATGCATTCAAGGCGAAGCCAGGTCTGTCACATACAGACTGCACAAAGGTTCATCGCCCATAACCAGTTTGCATGGACGCGACTACAGCGAGCTATATAAAGAGTTTAAGAACGACCAAATAATGGGAATGCCTTCAGACGAAATGCTTCCAAAGTATAGCTTTCAAAAGCAATATAAAGTAAGTATACCAGACAGGGAAGCGTGGACGGGAGGACCTCCTATTCATGCAGATCTCACCTGGTATACAGACGGCTCCAAAACCCATGAAGGTTCAGGAGTAGGTATATATAGTACCAAGCCAAAGACAGGAATCTCACTGAGCTTAGGTAAACATGCGACAGTATTCCAGGCAGAAATAGCAATACATCACTGCGCAAAAGAAGTATTAAGACAGAAGGTAAATGGAAAAACCATTGTCATATACTCACAGTCAAGCGACGTTGAAAGCACTCAGTTCCATGCAGGTACACTCAAAGCTTGTGTGGGACTGTTTGGAAGCCCTAACAGAGCTGGGTAGTCAAAACAGACTAACCTTAGCCTGGGTACCAGGCCACAGGGGGCATAAGGGCAATGAAGAGGCTGATTTAGTAGCCCGAGAAGGAGCCTCAAATGCTCTTATTGGCCCAGAACCCTTCTGTGGTGTAACAAAAACAACTATCAGAACATGCACAAAGTAGTGGATGTTTAAAAAATCTCAGGAGTGGTGGAAAACTCACCAGGACAGAGACAGGCTTAAAATGACCATCGTCTAAACTCACCGAGCATCTACTAAGCCTTAATAGGAAAAATACTAAAATACTAGTAGGTCTATTAACAGGGCATTGTAGGCTTAACAAACATATGTTCAATATCGGTCTGACAGAAGAGACCTTGTGCCGATTTTGTCAAGAAGAAGAGGAAACGGCAGAACTCGTATTGTGCTACTGCGAAGGTCTAGTAAGACTGAGATTCCTTACACTTGGAGAAGAAAAACCAAGGGCAACTATACTCTGTTTTTAAACTAGGAGGAGCGAATTGAAAAGACGCATTTACACAGGGAAAAGTAACTAGATTTGTTACTAAGAGCGAGTTTCGAAATATAGTTGTGTTCAAAATTTATGAAATAATTATCTTTATCGGCCTTAGTCGGTGAACGGCCAATGAGCGGTTAAGAAACGAATAAATGTCATAGAAGTAATTTTTTAATTGGTCCCAGACAACGGTCGCAAATTTCACATTATTGTGATCTGAAATGTGTGTCTAAAACGAAATGTCACTGTCAAATTAAAGTCAATATGGTTGTTGATTGATGTCAGAAATACTTTTTTCTTGCTTTTGAAATCGACTTTTTGAGAATAACTATGATCTTTTTAAAATGAATAATAAATATTTAAGAAAATTGTTAATGGAATATCCAGATGTAGCCAGGTTAGTATAAAATATAAAGATCTGTTTACATTTTTAAGGATATATTTGTTATAGGTATAAAAAGTAAAAGTTAATCAGTGAATGACAAGTGGATCACACAGTAACTGGTATCTCTTTTATGAGTAATGTGGATATTATGGCTTATTTAGTGTTAACCCATGGTTAATGCGCTAGAGGGCGAATAAAGGCATTCAAAAGTTTACAGGCCTATGAGTCAGAATTTGTTTTGAAAACTGGAACCAACATTTTCATAACACTACATGTCAACATATATTTTTTAAAGTGAACTATTCATACATACCTATGTATTAATTTTAAGTATTTTTAAAATATTTTTTGTGAAAATAATGTTAACTCATTGTGCCAAATTAAGATTATCCCTAAAGTAGTAGATGGTGTTTTAAATGCTATAACAATTTTGTAAATAGTTTTATTCTATTCTAATAAATAAAATTTGCTTGAATATTTAGTTACATTTTAATCATTTTGGTTAGAAATTCATCAATTTTTAGTTTTAAAAATTCAGTTATAAAATTATTTTTTTCTAAAATACTTCGGAATTCATTTCTTCATGGTAATCTCCCATCTTTTTACCTTCAAAAACCAATAATGCATTTTCTACAAAACCTTCAGAATCAGCATGTAAAATAATAAGGTGTCTTCTCTTTCTTGTTAGGCTTTTCAGGAATTGCTACCTTTAATAATACTCAGTGTAGAAGGATCCATAATTGTAGATTTTCAATACAATTGCTTACTGAAGAACTATTATTTACGAAATAAAGTAAAAAACTAAGTAATGGATGAGATATCAAATTATAAAATGTCAGAACTGTCAACAATATCAATTATTAGCTGATGTTCATGCTAAAAAGTAATGTGTGAAACTGACTGTAATCTGACCAATCAGAAGGCTACAGAATTGCCAACTTAAATTAAAATCGCTCCTCTTAGTTTAAAAACAGAGTATAGCTATACCGGAGAACTACTTCTCAGTCTATGGAGTCTACTACAAAAGACCGAATTAGACAAGGTACTCTAAACAATGATTAAAGGATATCCACAATAGATCTGAAAAGGTCGAGGTGGGGGAGGCCACATGGCCCATAGTCCTAATTAAATCTTAATCTTAAGTACTGTTCCTTGAGGTACTCCTATCTTGACGATAGTTGGACGACTTAGCAACTCAATGATTTTAACCTGTTATTGTCTATTTTCTAAATAATGGCTGAAAACATTCAACACAGCCTCGAATCTTATTTGTTTTAAGGACAGAAAGAAGTATCTGGTGGTTTACTGTGTCGAATGCTTTCGCCAAGTCTAGAAAGACTTACATTTTCTACTTTTATCGAGTTGGCTCACAATTTCGTACACTACAGTGAACATGGGATCACTTGTTGATTTACCAGCCTGAAAACCAAACTGATGATCATTTAAGATCTTATTAGCTGTAAGGATTTTTAAGGCATTTTTCAAAGATTTTTTCAAAGTTGTTTAGTACACTTATTGGTCTGTAATTATTTATTTTTGTTTTGTCACCTGCTTTGAAAATAGGAGTTATAATCGATATGTTTCTATTATTAATATGAATTTAACAAAAGCTAATAGATTCCTTTTAAAATATGCAAATCATTTGTTTTTTTTTTTAATTCCGATAGTTTTTCGAAATCTATACAAACTCCACAAAAGTAAGTGACTGTACTATACCTATACAGTAAACTCTCAATGTCTTACTATAAATAAACCTTTTTAAAAGACTCGATTAACTGTAATATAATAGGCAATTTGCTAGCTTCATATCATTTAGTTCTTGTTCATCAAAAATAAACTTCTTATATTTCAAAATTTGGAGATTCCACACATAAAAGCCCATTGTGTTTCTTAAAACGCAACATTTGCGGTTGAATATGGAAGTATAATTTTTGGCTCACTTTGCACTGGATATAAATCTATTCACTCTTATAAAAAGGACACATTTAATGTTTGTAATTTGAAGAAGAATCGATACCTTCAAATCATTAGAATTTTTGACAACAGTGGCCTTTTCTAATAACACAATGTTGATATGATGGAAGGTTATTCACTTCGATGGTATTCAGAAGTCACAACAAAAAAGCAACACTATATTTGTAGCCATCTTAAAAAAATAGAACCATGTAAAATCATTTAATACTTTATTTTGAGCTTTTTAATATTGACAGGAATTGAAATTACTTTCGAAAGCAGAATATTATTAAATAACGCTATAAACGTTTTGTGTTCTAGTGAAATTCTAGCTTTAATTGTTACAAATGGTAACCGAACATATGATAGTACACTTCCTTGGTAGAATGGTAGACCTACAATAGAATAAATGTCAGTAATATTGAGTAGTGAGTTTGTATAATAAAAAAATGTTTCTTTCTTAAACAAATCGCTCAATGAATACAAAAGAAAGACGGTATGTTATGTTTAGTATGGGGTATTAATACACAACGACCTAATAGATCTATTGTGTCCTCTTCTGTCGCTAATTCAGCAATAGTCTCGATATCTATAACGACCCTTTCAATCTTATCTTTCTCAAGAAATTGTTCGACTTGAAGTGACTTCAAGTTAGGTAGATCGCCCTCTTCTATTTGTTATGCTCCTAAGTGAACTGCCCTTAGTAGCACTACACATTCAAGCAGAATGTGAATGAAGTTTTCGTCTTCCTCCTCCTCACAGAATTTGCGCTTACTAGCTTTTGCTACTCTTGAGTTTACTTAGGTGTCCTTTGAGTCGGCAATACCCAGTAAGGATCCCTGTTACAGTGCATGCCTGTTCTTGGTCAGACAGATACAGGCTTCCATTCATTTCTGGTTATATTCATCCAGAAGTTTTCTAGTCTGTCTTATCCCCAAGAGATTGTTTCAGTGATCGGTTCTTCTATGCCCAATTCTTTTTTAATCCCTCCTAATATTGTGTTACTGCTAATATCGCAGAACTGCGCAGGTTCCACAAACGGTGTTTGAGCTCTCTTCCTTGCAAAACTATCTGAAATGTTACCCTGTATAAAAGAACGTAGAATCTTATTTAGCTCAACATCACTTTTTACTCCACATCATTTTTGGCATCCACTAGGCTCTTTGTTTATCTTCCTGAATCGGAATATATATTTTATTTGACAACGTCGCCAAGAGATACCTCGACATAATAAATAACGTCTTTGATTTATTACAATAAAAATAAAGTTAATAAGTCTTTCCTGTTTAAATTTTGCACAGCTTCACAAAGCTACAAGGTGATTCACATAATGGTTTCTTTTATTTAAATGAACTACTTACTATTATCGAGTCACCTTGTAACTTTAGTGCTAATTTTATAGTTTAGTCTACGTTTTGCTTTTAGCAAGCTTTCTTTTTATTTTTTACACTTTATGTAAATGGCTACATCAATATTTTTTAAATATAAATATTTTAAGGTAAACCAGTTACCACATCCGTACCTCAGATTTCTATAAAGTTTCACGCCAACGCTGAACAAATTGAAGAGTTGTATGCTAGCGAAGACGAAGCTACAAATAAAACTGATGAGAAAAATGAAAAACTGTCTGCTTCCAGTACCCCTACAAACTTAGGTAAGAATTTAAAATTATTACATTTGATAAAATCTTTGGTATGGAAGTTTTAGGTTTTTTTGAGTCCTTTATATTAACTACATCTCGCAGATCTTTACATTCAAAAACACTTGAGTCGTTGTATCAAAAAGCGCACTTTAGGTTAAATGTCTTTTGTTATTATTTTTTAAAAAAATATTTGTAATGAATTATGATATCGAAATAGAATATATAAATTCTTTTTAAATGACAAACAGTAACTGCTAAAAATTTAAATTTTTAAATTTTTTTTTTTATACACAGTGTACATAATCACCTCATCCGTAGCTATAACGTAGGGAGGGTGGTTGCCCCACTGTGCCCACGGTGTATCATCCTGAATCGGTGGTGTCACACACTTAGCTCGTTATAATGTACATAGTTGATAATGCGCCAAGAGGTATCTCTCTCTATAAAATGCCTAACTAATATTTAATATTTTAAGTTGGTACCTCAGACATGGATAGTGGAGATAGGAAATGTCATTTTCATCAGGCACGTAGAAGTGAAGGCGGCCATCTTTTAACAAATAGAGACCTACGCACTTGCGCATTCATTGCATATTAAAGTGTACAGGATAGGACTAACACTTTTAAACAATTCGAAAATATTATGGATTTAATTACACAATAGAACTAATAAGCATAAAAATTCGTAATAGAAATTTAATTTTCATTTTTAAGGATTTTAAGAGATTTCTAAAACTAACTTTTTTGAAACTTTATTTAAAATTAAATAAAAACATAAAATATATTTAAAATAGCATTTCGTATGAAATGAATACAACAATCCAAGGCCGTAATATATTTTATAGCAAATAAATCTGGAATCACGTGATTTAAACAGAACTTTCATATTAAAAACTATACGAGGGCGGGTCAATAAGTCCGTGACTTTTTGAATTTCCCGCCTCTTAATTGAAATGGCAACAATGCTCCCGTCAACAGTCATCTGTCTGTTGACTCTTGTCAAAAATTGAACAAGCTGCGACATTTAGTTTGTTTTTGACAGCCGTTAATATCAGACGACCTCGTTGACTGAGAAGAAAATGGAAACAAGTGAATTTCATGTGCTCATAAAGCATTATTTTTTGCGGAAAAATCCATTACGCAAACCAAGGCTAAGCTTGATAAATATTATGGGGACTCTGCACCATCCATTTCCATGGTTAAAAAGTGGTTTACTGAATTCCTATGTGGCCGTACAAGCACGGAAGATGCCGAACGTTCTGGACGCCCAGTTGAGGTCTCCACATCGGAAACAATTGAAAAAATCCACGATATGGTTTTAGCCGATCGGCGATTAAAAGTGAGAGAGATTCTGGAAGCCATAGGCATCTTACATGGCTCAGTGGTTTCAATTTTGAATAATCATTTGGGTATGAGAAAGCTTTCCGCAAGATGGGTGCCGCGATTGCTCACAATCGACCGCAAACGCAACGGTGTGACAATTTCGCAGGAATGTTTGGCGTTGTTCAGTCGCAATATGAACGAGTTTTTGCGCCGTTTCGTAACCGTGGACGAAACGTGGATCCACCACAACACACCGGAGACCAAACAGCAGTCAAAACAGTGGGTTTCTCGGGGTGAATCGGCGAGAAAGAAGGCAAAGGTGGGTTTGTCAGCCAATAAAGTCATGGCGACTGTTTTTTGGGATGCACGCGGTATTATCCACATTGACTACCTTCAAAAAGGAAAAACAATCAATGGTGAATATTACAGCAACTTATTGGGTCGATTCGATGATGCATTAAAAAAGAGCGACCGCATTTGGCTAAGAAAAAAGTCCTTTTCCACCAGGATAATGCACGGGTGCACATATGTGCAGTTTCCATGGCAAAAATCCATGAACTGGGCTACGAATTGCTCCCCCATCCGGCCTATTCACCCGACCTAGCCCCGTGTGACTATTTCTTGTTTCCGAACTTGAAGAAATTGCTCGGCGGAAAGAGATTTGCCTCCAGTGACTAAGTCATCTCACAAAGAAATACCTATTTTGAAGACCTCGACAAATCATATTTTCGGAAGGGATAAAAAAACTGGAGAAATGTTGGGCTAAGTGTAAAAATAAAATAACCTGTGTTTCATTCAAAAAGTGACGGACTTATTAACCCGCCCTCGTAAATTATTACATGGGAATATTGATTGCTGAGATCTTGAAAGTATTTTATTTCATATTAAAACTACAAAACTAAGGAATTCAAATATATTTGTAATATCTTTCCACAGTACTATGGCATGCACTTGAGAGCATACAATAAGAACCATCAATCAAAATAATCAAAAGATTATGGGCATATTCTTTAGTAAATTTAAAACTATTATCAGAAACATCTAGTCAAATATTTTATTAAAAAAGGAAATTTAATCCAAACTTAATTGTGACCAAAACGTAAAATAAATGAAAACAAGAAACTCTATGCCATTTGTTACAAAATAAAACGAGCGACCGTTTCCCTTCAAAAAACAACTACTTCTTTGGCTAATTCCGCAACAGACATTGAATTATATCCAAAGAAAAACAACAAAGTTAAAAAATGTATATTTTAACATTTAGATACTAACATTAAACCATTTCGATTGGGTTCTTTTTCTAATTCCAGAAATCGTCCTATTAAGGTAATTCTTGAAAATGATAATGTAGCTAGAAAAGTTTTGAGGAATTCCAAACGACTGAAAACTAAGTTTGAATATAAAAATATAAGCATTTCAGAGGATCGTACAAAAAAACAAATTGAATATTACAAAACAATAAAAGAAGAGTTGACTAACAAAGGTATTCTGGTGAAACAAATTGCAAAATAAAATATTTTAATGGCATACCAAGAGTTGTTTTGTTAAACTGAATAGCAAGATAGATACTTTTTCTTCGAATGTGAGTGATTGTGAATATGTTATTGCTCTTAGCGAAACATGGCTGAAGCCTGATGTTAAATGATGTGAACTATTTCCCGATAACTATGAAGTTTTTCGCAGAGATCGAAAACTCGATCAGCTAGATATCACGCGTGGAGGAGGTATATTAATCACTATAGATATGTGTAAAAATTCCGAAATTGTTGATACTTCTCAATTTGAAGAAAAATTACTAAAAATTGATTTCTTGGTTTGAAAGTGTTCCGATGCTCATTACACATTAAAAATTTCTTACTATGCAATTAGACTCAGTACAGTGGGTACAGAACTGGGAAGTACTTGGTAACTAAATCTCCTACTTTTTCTAAGCTCCTGCCTCGATATTCATGCCGTGTATGCTTGCGTCCGGCCGGTTCCTCACTCTAATCATTGGTGGTTGAGAGTCAAGGATGTGCGGACTTCATACCCCATTTATAAAAAACAATTATGTCTATTATTTAGAATGTACTTAAGATACAAACCGCTATATACTCTACAATAGTAATAACCGAGAGGTACATTACACTTTATGACATGCATAGCAATTACTATATATACAAGATAGCTACACTCATTACATTTCAATGTGTATAGGGTAATTGAAAAGTGCTTACTATGCAATTCATATTCATAATATACAAGCCTGAGAGGCACCCGCTAATTTTGTGAAGAATGGGGAACTATTCCTTCCACCGATGTTTACGACTTGCACGTCTGCTGGAAACTAGCGTTTTACTATAGCTATGACGGTTGAGAGTCAAGGATGTGTTTAGGTATGCCCCGACGTATTTCCCCTATGCTACAATAATAATCACTGAGATGTACTTAGACTAAACTCATTACACTACATGATATACATAGTAATTACTATCTAAGAGGTACTTAATATGCTCATTACATGCTACCCCATATACATAGTAAATACTTATATCTATATGTGTATGAAGTAATTACATTCATTACACTATGCAATTACGCTCATTGGGAGGTACTTGCTAATTGCGCGAAGGGTGGGGGTATGTACTTAGGATAATTACTAATTACCTCTCATTACCTTCCGTCCAGAACTGGCCAATCACAACTACTAATCTAACAATTTTATATAATTAAAATCAATAATTTCGCCATTAGTTTCGACAATTTTAATAAGATTATCCCAGTTATTATTCCAAGCCAACTTAAGTATGTGACATGCATCTAAAATTATCAAAATTTTACTTTTATCTATGGCGAATACAAGAACTATGGAGTTGCAGTTTCAGTATCCAAGTTGTATGTTTACACCTAATGTTTGTCATCATTGTAAGTCCATCAAATGATAATTAGGTGATGATAACTCCATATTCATGCGATTTTAGAAGAACCTCCAACGCCACACTTCTTCTTTCATTACCATCTAAACCCTTAATAAAAAATAACCAACTGGCAACTTCTAATTATATTCTAATTCTAATAATATTCGTTGAAGTTGAAGGTTGTAAATTTCTTAACATAATAAGGATAATTAACAATTTTTTTATCACTTTCTTAAAATTATAAAAAGAAACAAATTGATAATTTTATGTATAGATATTTACCTCATAACACTAATGTTATAAAAATCTCCAATTTTAGGCATATTTATGAAAGGTATTGCATTATTTTTTTATTGTATTTATTCGTTTTGAAACGATTAAATCATCTTTATTTGCGTTATTTGCACTTATATTTTCCAATGATTTCTTCCAATAGCTCTATTAACCAAGAAGCATACGATTTTTCCTCATTCTAAAAAATGTATAACAATATCAACGTTAGATACCTACTTACAGTTTTTTATTGTACTACAATATTTCGTTTTCTAGAAAATGAAAATATAGTCTAAGATTAGGTATACTATCCTGTTCAGATAGCTGCAGTTTAAATGTTAAAAGTTAGATTTACAATGCAAAACTTAAGAATATAAATATTACTTTTGCGTGGATACCTAGTGATACGAATATAAAGGGAAATATCATAGCTGATAAACTTGCTAAATTAGGACTCAACAAACATTATTCTGACTAATGACCATGTATTATAGAAATATGCTACTCAGAGTTAAAAATAAAATTTGGGATGATTGGAGTGAAGAATGGCGAGAACTGAGTCAAACTAAGAGAAAGCATCTTTTTAATATATTAGATACACTGCCTCGAACACCCTGGTTTTTTAAAATTAAATTAACAAAGGGACAAATCGGTACAATGTGCAGAATGAGAATTGGTCACTGCTATAGTTCTGCTCATCTGTTCCGAATTGGTATCCTTGACTCCCCAAGTTGCAGCTGTGGTGAAATTGGAAGTTTAGGTCATATCTTCATGGAATGCAGTAATAATGCAAACAATATAAAAATTATACCAAAAAATGGTTTCAGCTTTTCGACCACAGTATTCCCCTTTATGTCTAAATGATTATTTACGAAAACCAATTTGCAGTACATAATAACGTCATTTTTAAAATCTTCTAACATAAATTTATAAAAATATTTTTCAGTTTTTTTTTAATTTTACAGAGCCAAATAGTGTTTTAAATTTTATATTTATTTGCATGTAACTAATGTTAGTGCTGGTTAAATAACATGTATAAGTTGAGACCAATGAATGAAAAAAAAGTCCGTCCCGCATTACGTCACTGCGCTATTTGAACAAAATTTGAAGCGAAAGTCAGCGTTTTCTGAGGGCTATGGCCATACCATTTAGTCCGTGTTTCGTGCTTTCGATTTGTTATAATCCCTAGTTGGTTGAAGATCCTAATCGAAGATAAATTATTCAAGGTATCCTACCCGAAAATAGACAAATTTAATGTTTGTTTCATTTTCTACTTTTTGTAATACATTTATCTTTTTTTTTAAATAAATCTGCTATCCAAAGTATAACTTTTAAGGTGGCGCCTCTGACCTCGTGAAATTTTGAGTTTGACACTTCTGAAATGTTAGATTAAAAAGTTTCCCCTGTGGCCCGATGAAAAAATAGTTTAAATTCGATAAGAGGAAGAAACATTCATTCGTGTTATCGACTGATTAAATAGTCATTGTCATAAAATAGGTATACGCTTGAGTTTACGATCTAAATATTTGTATTCGCTCTCTGTTTAAATGTATTTTGTGACTAGCTGTTCGCGATTTGTAACCGGTGCAATTGCTTTATTTGGCTACGTTAAAAATTATACTTTATTATAATTACTCATGACATGAATGACTTTTTCATCCATAGGTGAAAATGAAAAAAAGTTTACAGCAATTCGGTTTTTCAGGTGAAGATAGCAGTCCATTAAAGTACTTTAACAAAATAGGCAAAAGATCAGTTAGTGTAGATATTACAAATTCTCAACCCTTATCTGCTTCCCCACCATCTGATCCATGGAGGTTTTTTTCTGATATAAAGGTAAGTGTAGCACTTAAAACAAAAGTTGAAGACGCACTTTTCTTAAAAATACAATTTTTGGTAATTATTGGGAAGACGCCCTTTTCTTAATAATGCAAATTTGTTTTCAAAACTTACGTTTTAGGCTTTAGGAAGGATAGTAATCTTCAAATTTATCTGCGGAAACTCCATACATTTTACTTTTTTTTATTTTTTATGTATTATTTAGGAATTTTGAGGATCATTTATATAAGCTTCTTTTTAGAATTATATCTATCCTGTCATACTGGAAACTGTCACGCCATTACAAATGCGCGGTGTTGCCAACTTCTCCAATGCTAATAAATGAAAAATAAATGTAAGAAACTATAATTACACCACCGGTGGAAATCGCAAAAAAATGTGATATTTTGGGTTCGATTAATTTTAAGAACTCAGAATTTCGAAAAAAAAAATTGTTACACTAAAAAGTACTTATTTTATATAGTAAGATTTTAAAGGGCGTCTTCCCAATAATTACCAATTTTTTTTTAAATTGTTGTAATACACAATTGACTGAATATTAATATTACATCATCTATAAAGTAATAAACAATGTTTACTTTTTAAAAACTCAATTACTCTACCAAAAAGTGTTTAAAGTTTTTTCAAACAAGGAAATTTATTTATCTGACAACATATGACTTGACGGCCAAAGTCAACGATTATCATCAACTAAAGAGGATAGCCGAATTCGTATAATTTCTACTGGGTTAGCCGTGACGTTATCCCCCGAATACGTTCAGCTACATTTAAAACGTACACCGATACACACTTTTTAAAATTACGACGTTTAATATTTTCTTACTTTAAAATTTAAAAGTAATTCAGATATTCAAAAATCATTTGACCGAGAGAGAAAATTACACGCATCTAAAAAATTACAGGAGTAAATAAATACGTAATAAATTTGAATACCATGGCCATGTTATTTAAACATTTTTTAATTAACAAATATTTAAGAAATTTGACATGTTAGGGTATAATTAAAAATTAATATACAAAGTGTACAACAAGAAACTTGCTAATATTAATCTGCCGTCATCTCACCCACCTTCTAACCACTATAAAAGAGAGCGAGCGAAGCGAGCGCGCCCGGCCGACGTTTCGAAATTCGCGCGCGAATTTCGAAACGTCGGCCGGGCGCGCATTTTTTACATTTACACTATAAGTCATACACTGCTGTTATCTCACCCACCTCCTAACCCTACAGAAGAGAGCGAGCGAAACCAGCGCGCCCGGTCGACATTTTCGAAATTTGCGCGTGAGTTTCTAAACTTCGGCCGAGTGCGCTCGCTTCGCTCGCTTTTGTAGTGGTTACAATATGGGTGGGACGAGTGGTGCGTAATTTTATGGTGTAGGTGAGAAAAAAGGGCGCGCCCGGCCAACGTTTCAAAACCTGCGCGCGAATTTCGAAACGTCGGCCGGGCGCGTCTTTTTTACATTTACACTATAAGTCATACACTGCTGTTATCTCACCCACCTCCTAACCACTACAGAAGAGAGCGAGCAAAACCAGCGCGCCCGGCCGACATTTTCGAAATTCGCGCGTGAGTTTCTAAACTTCGGCCGAGTGCGCTCGCTTCGCTCGCTTTTGTAGTGGTTACAATATGGGTGGGACGAGTGGTGCGTAATTTTATGGTGTAGGTGAAAAAAAAAGGGCGCGCCCGGCCAACGTTTCGAAATCTGCGCGTGAATTTCGAAACGTCGACCGGGCGCGCTCGCTTTCTTCTGAAGCGGTTAGAAGGTGGGTGAGTAGACGTCAGCGTATGTCTTATAGTGTAAATGTAAAAAAGGCGCGCCCGGCCGACGTTTCGAAATTCGCGCGCGAATTTCGAAACCTCGGTCGGGCGCGCTCGCTCTCTTTTGAAGCGGTAAGGAGGTGGGTGAGTAGACGGCAGCGTATGTCTTATAGTGTAAATGTAAAAAATGCGCGCTTGGCCGACTTCGTGCGCGAATTTCGAAACGTCGGCCGGGCGCGCGCTCTCTTCTGAAGTGGTTAGGAGTAGGGTGAGATGGCGGCAGCGTACATCTTATAGTGTAGATGTAAAAAGGGCGCGCCCGGCCGACGCACTCGCTTCGCTCGCTCTCTTTTATAGTGGTTAGAAGGTGGGTGAGATGACGGCAGCTTAATATTAGCAAGTTTCTTGTTGTACACTTTGTATATTCATTTTGAATTATACCCTAACATGTCAAATTTCTTAAATATTTGTTAATTAAAAAATGTTTAAATAACATGGCCATGGTATTCAAATTTATTACCTATTTATTTACTCCTGTAATTTTTTAGATGCGTGTAATTTTCTCTCTTGGTTAAATGATTTTTGAATATCTGAATTTCTTTTAAATTTTAAAGTAAGAAAATATTAAACGTCGTAATTTTAAAAAGTGTGTATCGGTGTACGTTTTAAATGTAGCTGAACGTATTCGGGGGATAACGTCACGGCTAACCCAGCAGAAATTAAACGAATTCGGCTATCCTCTTTAGTTGATGATAATCGTTGACTTTGGCCGTCAAGTCATATGTTGTCAGATAAATAAATTTCCTTGTTTGAAAAAACTTTAAACACTTTTTGGTAAAGTAATTGAGTTTTTAAAAAGTAAACATTGTTTATTACTTTATAGATGATGTAATATTAATATTCAGTCAATTGTGTATTACAACAATTTAAATAAAATTGGTAATTATTGGGAAGACGCCCTTTAAAATCTTACTGTATAAAATGAGTACTTTTTACTGTAACAATTTTTTTTTTCGAAATTCTGAGTTCTTAAAATTAATCGAACCCAAAATATCACATTTTTTGCGATTTCCACCGGTGGTGTAATTATAGTTTTTTACATTTACTTTTCATTTATTAGCATTGGAGAAGTTGGCAACACCGCGCATTTGTAATGGCGTGACAGTTTCGAGTATGACAGGACAGATATAATTCTAAAAAGAAGCTAATATAAATGATCCTCAAAATTCCTAAATAATACATAAAAAAGAAGAAAAAAAGTAAAATGTATGGAGTTTCCGCAGATAAATTTGAAGATTACTATCCTTCCTAAAGACTAAAACGTAAGTTTTGAAAAAAATTTGGATTATTAAGAAAAGGGCGTCTTCCCAATAATTACCCAAATTTTTTACAAAACTTACATTTTTCAAATATACCACCGGAAACCATAAATTAACGGTTTTTTAAAAATTTTACATATTAAAAGCTTATGAGGATCATTAAGTGATCATTTATGTAAACTTATTCATTAGAATTATATCCGTCATGCTCTGTTAATACAAATTAGTGCGGTGTTGCCAAGTGTCCTATTAAAATCAACTAAAAAGAGATAAAAAAAATACCTTATTTTTGACATATTTCCATACTCTTTAAAAAGCAGTTCTATTAATTTATTTCCGGTCACACCCGATGATTTATTTATCCATTTTGATTGAATTTTTGTATTTAACTATTAAATATTAATATTACGTTCATCTATAAAGTAATAAACAATGTACTTTTCGAAAACTTTGAACAATAATTACTTTGTGCTATCAAAAAGTTTTATTTGTTTGACAAATGACGCCAGTAAGCCAGCCAAATTTAAAGAGTACTATCAACAAGAGGATAGCTGAATTAGTTCAGTTTATGCTGGGTTTACTGTGACGTCACTCGGTGGATACTTTTAAGGCATTTCTTTATAAGCTTACCACAACATTCTTGGTTACAGTATTGTAGTTACTGTGTTGACGTCACACATACCGTGGTATGTTATGTTATGTTGATAATGGGGTGTTAATACACTGCGACCTAAAATATCTATTGTGCCCCCTTCTGTCGCCACTGCACTAAGGAAATGTCTCAATGCCTATAGCGACCCTTCCAATCCTATTTTCTCAAGGAAGTGTAGGATACCGTGGTAACCTATTATTTAATGTCGTATGTCAAATTTAATTTAAGTTCGGGAATTTCTAAACGGAATTTGAATTTTATAGTAGAATAATTGGTATCGACACGGGGTAATAAATCTGTCAGATCAGTAAATGTCAGGTGTGGGTGCCTATATTATTAGGGTACATAAAATCAACATTTAAAAATATATTTTTTTGAATATGTATTATTGAGTATTATTTCGGTATGTAGTTATTTGCAATTGTTATGTAATTGGTAGAGTTATCTGTTTGAGTAAATTAACAAGGTATATAACAAATATTCTTCAAGACCTATAAATTTGACTATTAGGTATATCTACATTAAATTGTTATTCATCATTGACTTCTTGAAAATTTTTGATGTCAAGGTGAAAGTTAATGAAAAGTGGAGAGGAAGGTTTCAGCTTAGATTACACTGCACAACAGCATTTCTGATGATTGAGTTATATTACATGACACTTCAAATCTGTAATCTAAATTTCTGTATTAGCTCTAGTTTAGAAAATATGACACATAGTAAAAACAATTTGTTTAAAGTTAATCATATTTTATTTAGTTCTTAAGGTGAAAAAAACTTTCTTTTATAAGACTTCCTTGCAGAGATTGAACTCATAGAACTGTTCTGAATGCTCCAACAATAGTCAGCCATCATGTGTGCGTTCCAGTAGTCTTGATACCGTTCCTCCATCGTGTTCAGTTTTATTTGGTACTTAGATACAAGCTACTGTCTACGATCCACTTCAAATGCGCGTTAGGGTTCACAAAATCAAGTATTTGGCCACCTAACCTTACAAGAAACAAATAACACATTTTTTAAGCTAATGTCTATTCATATGTCAAATACGCCCGATGTAAACAGTGACCAACGCGTGATCAGTGCGTGCTAGTCACGTGTTTCCCAATTCTCGCAACGCTATTGGGCGGTCAAACACGAACGTGCTTCAACGCCAGATGACCGATTTGACCAGTGTTGTATTCGGCTCGGTTGGCTTTGGCTGCGTAACAGTAAATATTTTAGAGTGTACAGCTTTGTGTTATTCTTGGTTTTGGTTGAACAAGCGTTTAGTTTTATTGCACAACGTACGTGTCGTTTGTTGTTGTTATTGTTGTTATTAATTTCGTTTTGCTGGACTGCTTTATTTAATAAAACTATACTATG